CTCTCTTCCAGGTCAAACTGTTGGGAAATCATCTCATTCATTTAAGTTCCTGTGCTCCTGTTTACAGATGGGATAAGAATGGGTTTGCACCATCACAGATCAGTGTGAGCTTGCAGAATGGGGTTGTGCCAGAATACGCTCCTTTGGAACCCCAATGTTTAACAATAATGTACAATACACAACACTTGAGTGTTGATAGGAGCTTTGGACCCCTCAGCCCCAAAACACAGAAAGAATTATCTTCAGAGTTAGAGGTGGGAAAGGCCTGCAAAACGCCAGTTAGTCTTCCTTCCCATTCTGCAATGTGTTCCTGTCCAATGTTAAGTGTCACAAGCTATGGGGCTTCCACCATTTCTAGATCTTATCAACCATTTTCTGCTGTTCAGTCTAAATTTCCCTTTGCTCAGTTTCACATATGATCGATGTGTTTAGCACCAACAATGTGCTGGGTATTGTACAGGACATAGACAATCTTTGCCTCAAAGTGCTTATGGTAGACTTGCATATAGATAAGTTAGGGGACGTGGGAGTCACACACAAAAGACAAAGGATGAAATTTTCAAAAACTTCTATTCTGCATATTCTGCAGTGACGTAAGCACTTAGATCCATAAAGTTTATAACCAGAAGGGACCATTAGATCATCTAGTAGGACCTCCTACATGACCCAGGCCATTAAATATCACTCCATTATGCCTGTATCGAGTCCAGTAACATGTGTTTGACTAAAGCATATCTTCCAGAAAGGTAGCCAGGCTTGATCTGAAGACATTGAAAGAGAGAGAATCCACCACTTCCCTTGGTACTTTGTTCCAGTGGTTAATAATTCTCACTGTTAAAACTTTGTGCCTTATTTTGTGAATTTGTCTGGCTTTAGCTTCCAGCCATTGGTTTTTGTTGCCTTTCTCTGCTAAATTACAGAGCTCTTTAGTACCTGGTATTTTCTCCCCATAAATGTACTCATACACTGCAATCAAGTCACCTCCGAGTCTTCTGTTTGATAAACTAACAGACTGAGCTCTTTCAGTCTCTCACTGTAAGGCATTTTCTCCAGCTCTGAAATAATCTTTGTTCTTTTCGGCATTCTTTCCCATTTTTAAACCATCCACTCTTAAAGCTTTTCAGTCAGGTCATTAAAAGTCAATGGGACTTAGGTGCTTTTGAAAATTATACCAAGGGTCTAGGATGTTGGGACAAAGTTGAAGGGCCATGTGGGTGGCACAAGATGTCTAAATTTGATGGGGTGTTTAAGGGAGGAAGATGTTATATCCTCCTAAACAGTCTTCTTCCTCCTTTGGATTTATACCCACTAAATCATTACACTCTGTCTGATCCTGGCAGTAATCAATGTACAGTGTACAGTTTTATACACCACCACTAACTGAGAACACTATTTCTCTTCTTTTTTCAGGTATTAAGTTTCTGCAGCTGTAACCTTAAGAAGTAAGGAACAAGAATCCAAGCCTTTTCTCAACTATTGTACAGGATGACATAGTACAAGCTTCTTAAATCAGAGCTGGACTTGCTCACATAGTAGACAGTGTGTTAGGTTATTTATTTATTAAACTAGAGCACTGTACGTGCGGCCTCTGCCGATGGTGTTTTTTACTGCCAGGGGACTGTGAGACAGTTGGTTTTTGTTTTTGGGGGAGCAGGAAGCAAGGGGAGGAAAGAAGAATCTGGCTGAATTATTTTGTTGCAAAGTATCCGTTAGCTTCAAGTAATCCATTATCGCTGTATGTCTATTCTAATATACAGGGGATGGAGGACAATGCATGAGGCAAGATTTGAGATCAGACTTCAAGCTTGCACGTTACTTTAGTACCTTAATGTCTAGGAACTTAATTTCAAGGTTGCACATTTCCTTTGTACCTTAACATTTCTTACATGGAAGCAGAATCTGAGGCAGTCCCCAGAACTGTCTGTCAGTTTGCAGGGTAGAACACTCTGTTATTTTGTTTCCATGCCATTTTAAAATGAAACTAGCACAAGCCTGTTTGCTCTAGACATTGCTGACGAGATTGGTGCTATCTTAGCAGTGAAACACTAAATCTTACCAGCAGCCACTGGGGGAAACTCTCTAATTCTGATTATTGTGCAAGGACAGGCTTTGGCAACAAGCCAAAATGAACTTTGCCTTTGCACTGTGGGAAGCTGTAACCAAGAGTCCAGTTTATAGCATCAGCTGGGGACACCCCACAGCCTGAGTTAGGAGCCCATGAGGCAGAGATGCACCTGCTCTAACGCAGTCAGTGATGAACGCTGCACGGTTCACACCAGTGGACTAAGACCCAATTACACACCATTCTTCAGCAACTTTGCAGTATTTTTCTGCAGTTTTTGATGAGTGCCAACGTTTTCAATTCAACCAAAGCTATATTTCTCATGGAGCAGTTGTGTGGAATTTTGTGCTCATGCTCGTGGAACAGCCTTGTGACTTTGCCGACAAATGCTGCTTACATTTCAAGGTAGCTCTTCGAGATGACACTCAGAAGCTTGTTGTTCGCACTGCTGCAGAATGAAGCAGTAAAACTGATCAGTTCTGAGGACCGTTCTTGACACAGTCGTTCTCCAACTGGTATTTCAGTCCTTTCTGGAAGTGACTTCTGTGTATAAAAGCACCTGTTTCTGGGAAATGTTTCCCAGACTCCCAGTGCCGGAGCTGTTCAAGTCTTATTTTCAAATATAAATCCAAATAAGGGTCCCTAGAATTCATTCACTGAACAAATGAATAAGCGCCAGTAATTATCCCATAGAGTATGCTCTCTCCTGAGATCTAGATGTTATAAGTAGAGTTCAGAATCACTGTCACATTAGTATCTTGTCAAGTCTTGCTGTATTAGTCAGAAATGATGGAAGATAAACATGCTTGTTACTTGTTTTAGCCCAGGATGTCCTGTCTGGATCCTGCATACAACACAGACATGCGTGTCAAGGTAATTTTTAAGGTTGCCATATCTCCCCAGAGTCACTGAAGACATGTTTCTTTTTTAAAATTACTTCAAGTGGTATTTACCAGACTTCCACGTGAAGCATTGACCTATCAGCCTAGGCTTTTATATACCATGCTCACCACCCTGGCACCTGATCAAGTGAAGATCCTTGTTTTTTGCCCTCTCTGAATCCTTGGCCATTATGAATGGGAGAGGTGTCTTTGTGGCATTGTGTTCTCACACACAAAAGACAGAAATTGTGGTCTACAGGCAAGTCACAGAATCATCAAAATTAGAGATGAAGACTGCCTCCTGGGTCAGTTTGTCCAATGTCACAGTTGTTTCTTAAAGCAAATTTTCTAGTATGCTGTTTAATCCAATTTTCAATCTCCAAAGGGATGGAGCCCTAGGTAGAAAGTTGTAGGTAAGCTGTTGGAGGTTTTATGAGGCTGTGTCTGAGGGAGGCATCATAGAATGATCCCCAGTCATGTATCAATTGATCTTCAACTCTTGGTTGATTTTATTCAGGTCCTGAGATTTTCAGAAGAGACCACTGAATTATTGTTAAGATGCCAGTCGGGTGTATTACTTTTATTACTTATATTGTTTGAGTTATTTTATTCTGCAGTGACCCAGCTTTATCCTGGAGTCACTTTCGTTGTTTGTAGACGTGTGGGGTGAAATCCAGGCCCATGGAACTCAATGGCAAAGCTCCCTTTTGACTTCAGAAGGGCCAGGATTTCACTTGTAGATTGCACTGTCTGAATGGGGCCTTTTTCTGGGCAAAAGCCCCAGGAATGTGTCCACCCATGGAGCTCTTCAAGATCTTGGCATACATGGGCTGCACAAATGGCCAAGGATAAAGGGGAAAGAGTTTCTTAAAGAGAGGCTTTTCTCTTCTGTGTACTAAACCAGTCACAGAACCATTTCCCAGCAGCCGGGAGTTGGGGGATGGGCAACACGGGTCTTTGATTTAATTGGGAACATTATCTTCTCCTCCTCCCTTGGATCTATTGTGGTATCAGTGTCCATGTATGACGATGCATCCAACACATCAATCTGTTCTTTATCTCACGTGGTTACGCCTGGCATGTGAAACTGCTTGTTAGACAAATGCTTGGCGTCAGCCCAGGCCGTACTGTCTCTGTGAGCCTGCATCTCGCCTCTGTGACCTGAGTTCAGTCATATAGGGAGCAGTACAGTATTCATGCAGTTGCTGTACACTTACTGGGAGTTCCCAGGCTAGCACCATGATGCTGGTTTGAAATCTGATAGCGAAGTGCAGCCTTAGCTAAGGGTATCTTAGGACACCATCCTTTTGGGGAGGTTTTTCCCATGCACACTCCTGTCAATGAGCTGGAACAGAGTGGGTGCAAATGTTCCAAACTGACGAACACAAGGAAGTTCCTTCTCTCTTTATTTGCTAGAGACAGTTGAGTCAAGACTTGTGCACTTTTTACAGAGTTAGCTGTGCAGAAGTGAGGTGGCGTGGCTGGGAATGCACTGTGCAGACAGAGACAGTCATTGCTTAACATGAACTGGGCTCCTCACTTGCCTGTCTGGGGGAGGGACTGGGAGACCAGAGCACCCCAAAGTGTGGCCCATGACCACTCTTTCCCTTTAGGTGGAGGTGCAGCCTCAGAGACTGCAGGCCCCTGCATGGATTTCTGCTCAGATCAAGCTGGAGCATTGCAAGCTGGGAGGTGTAGTCCCTGTGCTTTACAGAAATGGAGCATTGTAATCAGTTCCAAGTGGCCAGTGCTGTTGGGCATCATTCGGGCACCCCCTAGTTTAATGTGTGGAAACAGTTCGTAGTTTTCCCTGGGAAAACCAGACCAGCACAGTGGTGCTACCAGCCTTCTCGTCTCTTTTATTTTATGGGGAAGGTGACAACATTAGCCTGTCTCTGTGTTCTGGAGCGAAGCCACCTAGGAAATGCCGCTATGGGTCACATGTTCATCCAGGCACCCTTTGGAAAAATGGGGTCAGAAATCAGGCTGAATCTGGCCCCAGGACAATAACCGTTCCGTCAGGTGACCCGACGGTGCAGCGCAGAAGGGTCGCTTACCTATTCCAAGTCTGTCACTAGTGTAGCGTGTAGTGGTGCTGTCCTCATCAGTGAATTTGTTTGTGCTGATTTTAAGCTCATTTTATCTTCAGTGTAGCTATAAGAAGAAGAAAAAATCATTCTGAATGGCTTTTTTCAAAAACCCTCTGATCTTTTACAGATTTTCTCCATGTTGCTATGCCTTTTCGTAAGCTTTTTTGCTTGCTTGGCTTTTCCTAATCAATCTGGAATCACACTCCGTGATCATCTCTAAATTTAGTGTAACAGATCTTTTTAAATGTAACAATTTTTTTTAAATATTAGAAAAAGGAGATAGGCGACACCAGCAAAATCTTACAAGGAAAATAATTTTGTTCTGAACTTTAGAAGCCAGGAAAAGAAACCCAATCATCTGTCATAATTCTACAGTAAGGAAGTAAAAACTAAGACTATAACATTTTCAAAAGGATGTTTTAAATATTAATGTCTGAGTGATTGTATTAGATCAGCAATAAAGACTCTGTAATCTCAAAACACAAATAAAACGTTGCAAAATTCAGTTGGCCTCTGCAGTGTGTTCATGTGGCAGGCCCTGGAAGTGGTTGGAAACAGGATGGTATGTTGCAAGGAAGGTTATGAACCTCTCAGCTTTTGTGACAGCCAGGTACCAAAATGGGCCTGTCGCTGTCTCTGACGGTTCCATTTGCTCTTTGTCACGCAACAAGCTGCCAGCCAGGACCCCACCAATAGTTGTAATGACTGTGTTGGCCACTAACGTTCTCTTCTAGCCTCAGAGGAGCAGCCGTGTGAGTCTGTCTCCGCAAAAAGAACAGGAGGACTTGTGGCACCTTAGAGACTAACCCATTCATCTGATCTGTTTCTTAAGCTATTGTCCCGGTCCACGTATTCCTCAAGTGTATACGGTCCGTTCACTCTTGCCTCTGCCAAGGGTTGAAGCCATCCGCTAGCCACATATTGTAGTGCCAGGACTGATGGATTTATAAAAACTTCCGCTGCTGGAAATGGCAGATTCCTCTCCCTGCTTAGCAGGATCAGGTTTCCAGTCACATTCTTCCTCCCAGGTTTTCATTTCTTCACACACTTCTCCTCCTTCCAGCCCGATTCCTCTGCTCCAGGTGTTACACAGCCAACTCCATCCTCTACCCAGTGCATGGACTTGCCCTCCAGACTGATTCTGACAGAGGATCTGCCTTGACTTGGAGCAGCCCCATCTATATCCCTCCTTCCTTTCCTCCCTGGGTGCACTGATCCCATAATGCCATCTCTTCAGTGTAGACAGCACCATCGGTGTGAAGGGGGCTTTGCAAATGAAAACAACGGCTACCTGCTCCAAGGAGCTTGCTATCTAAATTAGATACCTTCATCTTCTCATAATCACAAACAATGTGGGGTAGCAGCAGCCAGTCTGGAGATATCCATAGAGTAAGGCCACATTGGTGCCTTGGTGGTTCATTGTTTTAAAGAATGTATTGGGGGCTATTGTCCCAGGACTGGGGGAGCAGTGAGTGCTGTGGGTCACCTGCACTAGGAGAGCTGCAGAAGAGTAAAATTGACCATTTTTGTAGTAGTCATCTTGCTTTTTCTGGAGAATATTGTCATTTAATAGGAAAACGACACAATTCAAATCAGGGAAATCTTAGTGTCCTTGTAACTCAAAATCAGATGGGCAGATTTTCTTCAAGATTTGTAGAAATATTCTCCTTTGCCATCAGGGTGGATCTGACAATTCTCAGGCCAAACCAATTCTCCAAGCCAAAGTTACAGTCGTTTTATACTGAATTAAGGTTGATTGCAACCTTAATTCTGGACATGCTTCCACCCCTCCGTACAATATAGCAGCCTGCAACTGTCTCTGCAGAGATGGCCTGTGAGAGAGGGTTCTGGCTACTAAACTTCCCATCCCCTCTGTGTTTTGTGGAGTGATTGCAATTATTCTGTGGAGAAGCTGTCTGAGTGCAGCTGGAAACTGTTTTGGTTGTAGGTTTCTTGGGTTGTCTCCTGTTCCTGATCTGTCCTTGGTGAAAACAAGCTAAATTGTGTCTGAAAAAAAACCATTATCTTGTTTTGCTCCCATTCTCTCACCTCCCTTCCCAGCCCTTTTGCAAAACAATCCGTGTTTACACAAGACCCAGAAAGACACCAGGAAAATACAGATTTAAAAGGATGACATTTCTTCCAAGATGAACAGAATAAACCAATGGCCATTTTAAAACACAAAATCAGATCACTCCTGGCTGAAAGCTGCGGAGTGGAACAGAGTGTGATGAGGCCACTGGATAATTGATTTGGGGATGCTCCTTTATTGAGCATCAAGAAACCTTGTAACCTAGCAGTAATGTAGTTACACTGCTCTGAATCTGCAGTTCTGGCTGGTGAGAAGTATATGGAAGAAGGAGGCCAGGCCCTTGTGGAAGCCTTTCAGAAGTAACATGGAGACCGCAGGGGGAGAGAGCCCATAACTTCTTGAGAACTTGCATGGTGGCACTTCCCATCAAGACTGTCCCTCCATGATGCATTGGGCAGGTCTGGTTCTTTGTCTTTTCTGAGCACGTTTCATCTAAACAGCAGGAGCTAAGCTGACCAGTCCTCCTCCAAGTGTAGCAGGGATGGCAGATGCATGGATGGCAGAAAGTGACACGGTGGGGGTGGGGGTGAAAGTGATACCCAGCTGCTGCTGAAGTCTGAGTAGGTCAGCATCTCTAGAGAACTCTCCAAAGACAGTGGACTTAGCAGGTCATTTTAAATTCCCATCTGCTCCTAGAGGTCCCCAGTCCTCCAGGATTCACACAACCTGCTGTTAGAGATCATATCAAGGGACAGCATCGCCCAAGGAGTAGAATTAATTCACTGGCAGAAGGCAAAGCTTTGCAGGCTCCATGTAGACATGCTGGTGTTAAATGACTCCAGCTTCTCTGCTGTGACTGCTCAAGCTGGAGCAATGGGCATCCCTTATGCTTTCTCTTCCCTTAACTCCCAGCGTCCATCACCTGGCTAAATAACAGAAATGAGCTGAATAATTAACAAGACTGTGCAAAAGACTGGGATCCACTCATGCAGTGGCCATGATGCTGCACATCCATGCACTTTGCAGCCAGAGAAACACAGGGCTCACAAAGGTGGAACTTGCCAGCGATGCTGCAGAATTAGATCTGAAAAGACCAGAATATTTGCTGCCTGAGAAGAAGAAAAACTGAAAATTGAAATATTTGCTATTAAAAAAATGAATAGAAATATGGGCACCAGGTGTTTCTCTCCATTCCTCTCTTCAGTCTGCACTTCCATAGAGCCACCTCTGCATCTAATAAGAGAGTAGCCTATGTCTGGTAAGTCCCCTCGTCAGTCCTCTCCCCTGGCCCCACACATGGCATGATTGTTCCCTCCAGCTGTTACACTTCGTTCTGCAGTGTTTTGTGCAATCGAATTTAAAATAACTCAAGCAGCGGCCTTCCCCATTTTCCCTGGGGAGACGACTCCACGCTCCAATGCTTAATCCAATGCAGTTGCTGTAGTCCGTTACATTACGCTCTTTGCTGGCTCTAGGGTGGTTCTGAGTTTATCTTTGCATGTCAGTTTTGCTTTCCCATTTCTTGGTGTCATTGGACTCCACTGAGTTGATTTATTCTCTTATCTCCCCGATGGCCATGGTGCCCAATACAAGTCTATGTTGTGTGTTGTGCAGACGAGCAATGGCAGGCAGCTTGAAGAGCTGGGGACCGACTCCTGCAGCCCTTCCCCATATGCACAGTTCTTACACTTCCTGTGGAAGTCACTGGGTCTGCTTGGCTGGGTAAAGGTTCATTATCCATTGTGTTCGTACACTTCCCTACATAAGTCGCCAATTGGCCGTGAGAGTCAGCTGCTGTGTCAGACTCTCAGCAAGGGGTGTGCAGTGAAATGCTCCCGCCTACCACCGGTTGTGTGCATTTTGTTCTGGGATCCCTGTCTCCTTTCCTACATGCTGCTGATTAAGTTACCAATGAACTCCATTATGTCTCTGGAAGGGGTTGAGCCTTTCCGCTATCTCTGAACCCAAAACTAGCCCCAGATTCCCTTCGTTTCAGGTGTATAGAAAACCCTCTTCAGCCACTTGTCATCTCCACGAGGCCTGAGTCCCAAACCATTACCTGGCTCGCTATAATTTTAACCTTCTGTCCTTAGTGGCTTTACCACCCGCAAAAGTGGGAGTGTTGAAAATCTCCCCATCACTGTCCCAAACTGCCTTTGTGTGACAAATCACTAGAATGAATGTCAGATAGAGAAGTGTACAGCCCCGCTGTGGGTGGGAAGACCATGCACTTGCTCTGCAAAGTTGACATCCCCTTATGCTCTGATTCAGAGGAGGGATTTTAAACCCCATCTCCCACCTGCCAGGTGATTCCCTTAAGGACCAGCCTATAGCATCCTTATTTAGTTATACGAGACTCAAGACAGCTTGAGAGCAGACTTTGGGGGATATCAGAGGTCAAGTCCCTGCTCCAGAGGGAGGATTCAAACCTGGGTCTACCACATCCTAGGCATATGCTCTAACCACTGGGCTAAAGGTTAGAAGGTGACCGGCACAGTTACTTTGAAGCTGCCTGGAATGAAACATTTCATCAGACTCAAGATGGGCTTTTCCAATGGCTGACAAATTCCGAACATCACTGGAAACAACTCTTTGTGTTGATTCCCAGCTGGCTGGCCACACTGAGAAATCATGTGTGTGTTGGAGGCTGGACAAAGGTGAAGGAGCAGCATTTTAAGGTTAACTAAAGATACCAGCATCAGTCGCACTCCTTGGCTGTGATGCTCTTTGGAATCAAGCCCCCGCTCTCTGGGGGAGAGGATAAAAGGCCATATTAATGGCAGGACTTACCTACTTCCACCCAGTGCTGTGAGACCAAGCTGCCAGTGACCCAGCCGCCCTGGGGACCGTTGCTGCTTCCGTTCTAAGCATCTCTCCCTGCCCCCCTCCCTTCCCTTCACTTCCTCCCTTCATCCCATTTGAAACTTGCTGATCCCTGCCTGTGGGTTTCTTTTCACACAGCTGTTGAGGGTTGATTCAGATAAGGGCGGCAGAGTAACTGCAGTGGCCTGGAACTGATAGCCCCACCTATGTGTTGGTTTAGAGATGTTGACCAACGCGGTTTGCTAACGGGAAAGGAAGGGTTTAATTCTGCTGCTGCTGAGCTATAGGAAACGGATGATGAACGTGAGTGTGATGACAGGTTTCAGAGTAGCAGCCGTGTTAGGCTGTATTCGCAAAAAGAACAGGAGGACTTGTGGCACCTTAGAGACTAACCAATTTATTTGAGCCTAAGCTTTCGTGAGCTACAGCTCACTTCGTCGGATGCATTCCATCACAATGCATCCCATCACAATGCATCCGATGAAGTGAGCTGTAGCTCACGAAAGCTTAGGCTCAAATCAATTGGTTAGTCTCTAAGGTGCCACAACTCCTCCTTTTCTTTGTGAGTGTGATGTAGTCCCAAGCAGCGCTGAGCTATAAAGGCCCAGGGCTAGTCCCTTCCCAGGAATAAACGAAGCTATGGAAGGTTTGAGTGAGTTGGGGTCTGGGTTTTTGTCCTTTCGCTGAACCATAGAAGAATATTTCATTTTGGCAAAGCACAGGAAGTGGTTGACCCCGGGAAGACTCATTAGGGCAGGATCAGGTCCCTTATCTGCTCAGGGGGAACCCTGCACCTGTGCAGAGCCCCACTGAGATCACTTGGGGCGGGGAAAGAATTCTGAACGGTCACTGGAGCCAGGCTGTGCAGAAATAGCTGCAGAATTGGGACCAGCGTTGGGCCAGTTGTTTCTTAAGCAGAACAATTCTGACAATAGCTCGTGGAGATGGGCTGTAGCTCTCCGGGCTGCATTTGGAGTTGCCTTGGATATTGTGTGGTCATTTCTGCCAATGCAAAAGGGGGTGCAAAATGCCCCCCTCTGATTCTGGAAGCACTTCTCCCCTTCAATTTGCACCCAAAAAGCCAATACATGACTCTATTGATAAAGAATTAATGAGAAGGAATAATGGGCCAACTTTTATACAGAATTGTTATAAATTGACAGCGATAATTACACTGGGTGGGACTTGAAAAGGTCTAGAATGTGACATAATGACCCTGAATATCCTCATTCCTCAGCCACGGAGGAATAGCGAGTCCTGCTTTTCCTTCTACAGAACTTTCCCTCCAAGGCTCCCAAAGTGCTTTGCATCACTGTGAGGAAAGGGTTGTTGCCTTTTACAGATGGGGAAACTGAGGCACAGAGCCACAAAGTGACTTCACTAAATAGCCTATTTCTATTTTATATTTCTTCAATAACTATTACTGCTCTCTAAGTGGAAAGAAGCAGGATGCTGTGCTCATCTCATATGAGGATGATGGTTTCAGTCCATTAGTAACTGAGGATCATGTTAGACAACAGCTACTGGTAATCAACATTTTTAAATCAGCAGGCCCAGGTCAACTTGCACCCAAAAAGAGCTGGCGATCTCTCGCCTGCTGGTGTTAATGTTTGATAAGTATTGGAATGCCAGGGAAATTCCAGAAGATTTATTCAAGTATTCAAAAAGAATAAGGAAGATGACCTGCGTAACTGTAGGCTGGTTAGCCTGTCATCTATCCTGAGCAAAATAATGGAAATGCCAATACACGACTCTATTGATAAAGAATGAATGAGAAGGAATATAATTAATGCCTGTCAACATGGTTTTATGGAAAATAGGTTTTGTCAAAGAAACCTGATTTAACTCTTTGGGACTACAAGTTTGGTTGACATCAGTAACTGCGTAGATGTAACATTCAAGACTTTTGTAAGGTGTTTGACTTAGTACCCCATGACATTCTGATTAAAAAATTGGCACTCCACACTACATCAATAGGGCACACGTTACCCGGAGTGAGAACTGGCTAACTAACAGATGTAGCTGTCAATGGGGAATCATCAGATGGGGGTGTTTCTAGTGGGGTTTTGCAGGGATCAGTCCTCGGCCTGATGCTACTCAGTGTTTTCAGCAATGATAGGGAAGTAAATGTAAATGCTGATAAAATTTGCAGATGGCACAAAGATTGGCTGAGTGGTAAAAGAGGACGGGCTTTCATACAGAGCAAAATGCATTTTAATACCATCAAATTTAGTTATGCATCTTGGAACAAGGAATGTGGGCCACACTTCAAAATGTACCCTGGAAAGCAGAGACCCTGACAAGGGTTTAGGGGTCACAATGGACAAGCAACTGGATATGAGCTCTCAGTGAGATGTTGTGACAAAATGGGCTAGTATGATCCTTGGGTCTAGAAGAGTGCTTCATTTGCAATGAAAGAGGGGCACAACATTTTAATTGGGGCGGGGGGTGAGATTAGGCAAGTGGTGGGTTCTCCATCTCTCGGTGTCTTCGTATCAAGACTGGCTGCCCTTCTGGAAGATGCATTAGTCAAACAAAAGTTACTGGGCTCAGCAGAGTGGTAACTAGGGGGGAATTTAATGGCTGGTGATAGGCCGGTTACGTCAGATGAACTGGTGATCCCTTCTGGCTTTATAATCTAGGGTGTGCCCAAGGACATAGCAAAAGTCTCCATCAGTGTCAAGGGCTGACCCAAGCTGGGATGGACTGCAGGCCAGGAAGATAAATTGAGTCCTGTAAGGTTTCTTAGGGGGCCTGTTGAGAATTTAGAATCTGAGGTCCTGTGGGCTCTGTGTTTATATGAGAGGAGGAGGGTCACCTTTGTCATTTGGATTAAAGTTCCTGCTCATCCACTTCTGTCCCCTGGTGTGCTCAGCTTCTGGCTTTTAACTTCCACCCTGGAGGCAGCTCGGCTGCTGTAAAGGAACAGACTGAGTCTGTCTGGTTCACAAAGTGCAGCACAGGGATCCTTTCAGAGGAAAAGTGCTGTGAAAGGGAGTCTCCAGGCTTGGATTAAAGCTTTGCATCCACTCACCCATCCCCTGGTGTGCATCACCACCACCGCCCTTTGAGCCGATCCTGCTCTGCAAAGGACCTGTCTGTCTCTTCCCCTGCTTTCCCTTCCCAGCCACAGGCCTTCCCTCCCTGGCCCCCAGGGCCAGCAGCCTCCCCGCTTTCCCATGGGGGCCTGCAGCCTTTCACCCCATCCCAGCCGGGTCAGCAGCCTCTCCCCTTAGACTCACAGACTATCAGGGTTGGAAGGGACCTCAGGAGGTCACCTCGTCCAACCCCCTGCTCAAAGCAGGACCAAGCCCCCATTTTTGCCCCATCCCTAAATGGCCCCCTCAAGGATTGAACTCACAACCCTGGGTTTGGCAGGCCAATGCTCAAACCACTGAGCTATCCCCACCCCCACCCCCGGCTGGCAGCAGCTTCTCCCCCTTCGCCTGGGGCCGGTGGCCGCAGCCCCAACCCACATGGCCCCAGCTGTAAGCCCAGCCGTCCCTCTCCCTCAACCCCGCCCCCGCAGCAGCCGCTCCAATCAGCGCCGGGGGGTGTGTCCCCCGCGGGGCAGCGAGCCAATGGCAGCGGGGGGGCGGGGCGAGACCCCGGCGCGGGGCGGGGGGCGGCGCCCGCACGTGCCGGCCCGGGCAGGGCAGAGGGGGCGCATGGAGGCGGCGGGCGGCGCCGGGCCCGGGGACGGGGCGCCCGGCAAGGGGAGGCCGCTGCAGCCCGCGGCCAAGGGGCGGGAGCCGTTCAGGAGCCAGCGGAAGGAGTCCGAGGTGAGCGGGGGCCGGGGCGCCCTGCCCGGGGGTGGGGGAAAGGGCCCGGGCTGCGGGACCCCCCCTGCCCGCCCTGGGGGGAGAGGGGCTGCCCCGGCCGCGGGGGGCGGGTCCCGCGGCTGCGCTTCGCCTCGCCGCCGCCCGGGGGGAGACCCCCCGGTCCGCCCGGGGGCTGGTGCCTGCCTCGGTGCTCGGCGCGGGGCGGGCGTGGGGAGGCGCCGGGGGGCGCGGCTGCGGGGCTCGGGCGGCCGCGGCGGGGGCCCACGTTGCGGGTGGGTCGGTGGTTTGAGCGGGGGCCGGTTTGCAGGGCCCCCGGGGCACGTCCCTGGGGCGTATCGCGGCTCCGCTGCCAGCTCCTGCGCCCGGCCCCAGCCTGGGTGGCCCGGTTATGGAAGCACCAGCCGGGCGGAGAGTGAGCCGGGGCTGGGCTCTGAGCGCAGGGGGCTGAGGTGGGGTTTGAGCTTTCCCAGGCTGGTGGGACCAGTCTTCTGCCGGCTCAGGTGCGCTCCTCCAGCCATGGCTTGCGCCTGGTGCCTTGCCAGGAGAGGCAGGGCAGCTTGTCTCCTCGCGGGCTTTGTGCAGTCCCCCTGAGGGCTGCCTGCTTCTGGGTGCCTTGGGGAACCGTCCAATATTGTACCTAGAGGGAGACTAAGATCCCCGATTTGCACCAATCGGCTGATTTCCTGAAGCATGAGAAACTAGCCAGCTGCCCGGGATTAGGAAACTGCCATTACCGTCAGGTTGTTTCATAATTGTTCATTACGGGATTTCTTCCCCCTTCCTCTGAAGCATCTGATTCTGGCAGGCAGGGAGAGGATACTGATTAGATGGATACCGGGTATCTTCCGGTTGGGCAATTAAATGCAAAGTAATGCACATTAGAAAACACAACCCCCGCTATACACACACAATGCTGGGGTTTAAATTAGCTGTTACCACTCAAGAAAGAGATCTTGGAGTCACTGTGGCGAGTTCTCTGGAAACGGCCACTCTATGGGCAGCCGCAGCCAAAACGGGGAACAGAATGTTGGGACTCATTAAGAAAGGGATAGAGAATGAGACAGAAAATATCATGTTGGCTCTCTATAAATCCATGGTGCGCCCACCGCTTGAATACTGTGTGCAGATGTGGTCGCCCCATCTCAAAAAAGATATATTGGAATTGGAAAAGGTTCAGAAAAGGTCAACAAAAATGATTGGGGTCTGGAATAGCTTCCGTATGAGGAGAGATTAATAAGACTGGGACTTTTCAGCTTGAAAAAGAGAGGACTAAGGGGGGATATGATAGAGGTCT